TACTTGTCGCATTAAGGGAGGAAAAATATAGGACGTGTACCAAATTTTGGAAGCCAGTAGAGAGCCTGCTGTTAAGGTGCGGCCTTTGAGGGAGATATCTCTAGTATTCAAAAGAAAGAGTTTTTTTTTAAGTTTCTTGACCAGCGTAGGCCAGGTGGAATGATGCATTGTAAAATTGGTATTGAAGTGAAAGCCCAGGATGTTGATATCAGCATTATGATTAGGAATAGTGAACTGATATTTATTTTGTAAGGAATGTATATTGGCTTTGGCAAGGTCATTTAGAGAGATAAGAACTGATTTATTGAGATTGGCTCTTGCATTAGAGGCTCTTTCATATTTCTTGATTGTATCACAGATGAAGTCTAGATGTAAATTGCTCAGAGCTAGAATAGTTGTGTCATCTGCGTAGGCCTGATTGTTGTCAAGGTAACTGTTGATTTGATAAGGAGAGGAGGACAGAGTTGCAAGGAGTGGTTCTATTGAGAGAGCAAATAAAATGGGGGAAAGTAGATCACCCTGCCGGACTCCTCTTTCTAATCTGAATTCATTAGATAAATGTTTATTGTCTGTGATGTTGGCTGATTGTTGTTCAAAGATATTATTAACTAGTTGGATAAAGACAGGTGGGAGACCAAAGTGTTCTAAGACTTTCGAGAGATACTGGTGATTTACTCTGTCAAAAGCCTTCTGTTGATCTAGTTGAAGTAGGTATGTAGGAGTGTTGGTATAAGATTTGAGAACCTCAGTGGCTGTTAAGATGTTTAAGATGGCGTCAATAGTGTTTCTTTCAGGAAGGAAGCCTTTTTGATGATGTGAAAGATGACGATCTGCAACTTTGGCTAATCATCTCACCAAAATCTTGAGAAAGATCTTTGCATCAGTATTGATTAGAGCGATAGGTCTCCAATTCTAGACTAGAGTTTTGTCATTATCCTTTTTTGGTATGAGAGTAATAAGTGACTTGGTCCATGAACTAGGAAAGATGCCATTAGAAAGAATTGAGTTAAATAGGGAAAAAAGAGAGTTAATAATATGTGGTAAGACAGACTTGTAAAATTCATAGATCAGACTATCTGGATCTGGAGACTTGTTATTGGGTAGGCTCATTATAGTGGATTTGATAAGATCATGAGTGATAGGGGCAATAATATCATCATTATTGTCTGGAAATGGTGTGATGTTTGTGAGAAGATCTGATATGTCTGAAGAGGAGACTTCATCTTGTGAGTATAGGTATTGATACTATTGTCCAATATAGTTAAGAGTTGTTTGTTGATTAGTGGTTGAGGAGTTTGAAAGATCTTTGATAAGAAGAGAGGAAGAGCTATTCAGACATTCTATAAATCTTTCGTAAAGTATTTCGTATTATGCTCTTTCGTCGTGTTCTATACTTATTTATATTTATTTATGTATCTCGTTTTATTTTTATATTCACGTTATCTTTCGTCATTTATTTTCTTTCGTTATGCATTTTCGTTCTGCTTTTAATTCACTAATTGATATCAAGAATTTAGCTAGATTTATTTCTGTTTGATTTTTTCGCTTTTTTCGTCGTTCGTCATTTATTTTCTTTCGTTATGCATTTCGCTCTGCGCTTAATTCAATTTATATCAAAAATTTAGCTAGATTCATTTCTGTTTGATTTTTCGCTTTTTTCGTCTTTCGTATTCGTTCTGTTCTCATAATTAAATATATATTTTGACCTTATTATATTTATTTATGTATCTCGTGTATTTCATTAATCATTATTCTGATTTTTTCATTTTGACCTATTCAAATTCTTGCATAAATACATGCACGTGGTTCTTAAATTAGTCAGTATGTAATGGGATTATAAAAAAGTTAGATATTGATTCAAGTGTAAAAAAGATGACAACTAGATTCGAATCAGATTTCATCACAACTACTGTATAATACTACTTGTAAATGGCACATGAAATAATTTACATAATTCTTTTTAAAGAAATAATTATAGTGTCACGCTCAATTCATAAGTTAGGTTGACTAACGAATTATAGATGCAACAAGGGTCGAGTGCTAAACTGAATGAATTACACGAGGTGAAGCTCACTGAGGTTCTAAAGGTCTTCAATGCCGATCTTCAACGGTAAGGTTTAAAATAAAGTTTTAATTTCAAAGAATATCCAACACAAATGACAAATTATATATCGTTTCAAAACAATAATGGGAATTCAAAAACAAATCAAAAATCAATATCAAAATAATAAAATTGATACCGAAAGAATCTAAAAGCGATGCATCAATTTTGTATGGCCAAAGCAGAAAAGCCTTCGATTTTGTTAAGCACAAAAGAAATCAAACTATCGATTTTGTTATGACATAAAAAGAAATAAAAGTCGTGACACAGTTAGGTAAGAGTTAAATACTCTTCATTATTTAGTTATTTCACACACTGCCTGTCTCTCAGATCTTCGAAAGCTATCCTTTATATACAATTTGGCTATTATATAACTATTCAGATTACAGGTCGTACTTCAATACATAATAAGTATGAATTAAAGGAGTATGGCTATGCTTCGAGATAAAGGAATATAATAAATTTAAAATAAAATAATGTATAATTATATTATGTACGATACAAATGTGAATTTTTGTAAAAAAAAATGTAATCATTTCTATGGATCAAAGGAATAACGTATGATACGAACTTTTGTATGGAATTTCTAATAATAATAATAACCAAAATCTTGAGAACGCGAAGAATTTTGTAAGAAATTCTTATTATTGGTTAAGGCAGTGAATTAAGCTCAAGATCATCTTGCATTATTCCAGAATTTTCGTAATCACGGGATTTCCCGTTGCAATATGTTTATTACAAGAAAACATTAATTACACAACGCAATAACTAAATTTTGTTATTCCAAAAAACGCAAATCTTAATTTTTGAGACTATGCGGGAATAGCATATTAATATCAAATATTAACTAATTATGAATGCAAAATGGAATGGTGAGAACCAAAATTTAAACTGAATCATTGATAAGTACTATTTTGATTTTAGTTGCTAGATTGTTCGAGAATACCAATTTGAGTACTTTAAATTTGAGTCTTCGAGGTGTGGCACTCAAGCGTGATCGAATGAATCACGAATCTGAAGTTTTATTGGTATGCAATGCCATATAAAAACTCGAATTGAATCATAATTAAAAAGAAAGTATAGCGAATGCTAAATGTCTCAATTCAACAAATGAGGAAATCATTACTGCATTTTTAAGTGAAAAGTTTACATTATTTATGTTTATTTTGCTCATATAACTGTGTTTCAAATAGTTTATCCAACTTTGAAAATAAAAGTAATTGCATCAAAAAAAAAATGTCATCTCTTTCACCCGTACACCTCACGGGTATCTCAAACAACGCCTCACAAAATATCGAAACTCA